CTTAATTGACATTGTTGGAAGTCACTAAAGCTACTTTTATGTTTTTGTTATTCTTTGTAGAGATTTAGATGAATCAGATCATCCTAATTATTTTAGCTAGTTGGCTGCAGTATTGTCATATTTTTTCTACCTAGACTAGCTGTTTCTACTGTGTTCACGATTTTATAAAACAAACTCACTAATAGTCTTTTATTGCCAATGCAATTTCTAACACAGCTCAAGAACACACTTATATTTTTGAAAGACATTTTGTTTAATCCCACTTTAGTATTCCTTTAAAAAGTTTGACTGATGACTCTGGAAATTCAGCTAAGAGTGTTGTATCAAACACTTGCTTGAATTTATCTAAAAATTCATAGTCAGTGCTGAATCTGAATTTGTTTGCCCAAAGCAACACCGTCCCTGGCTGACAAAGGTATGCCATGGTGGTGAGCAACTTGTCCAGGAAGTAATGGTGGTAGACCACATCAGAGGCCAAAACATAATCATAATAAAAAGTAGACTTGGGGAAGTTTTGTTCCAGGTCTTCTCCCCATACCAGTTCTTTCACATCAGGCAGATGGGCTGCACATTTTAGTGTGTTTTTCAAAATATTGTGTTGAAGGTTTCCTAGGACATCAGGCAAATCAGTGGCTGTGACTTGAGCACCTAAGAGAGAAGAAAAATTTTTAATAATTAGGTTATAACATTTAAGTACCACAATGCACATATACTCAGTTTAGAAATACAAGAAATAGAACTGGGTTTCTCAACCTTGACTCTATGACACATGTTGTTGTTATGTGCCGTGGAGTCGGACCTGACTCATAGCGACCCCTGCTTGGGTTTCCAAGGCAGTATCACTGCAGAAGTAGATTGTCCAACCTTCATTCCAAGGAGTGGCTGGTGGGTTTGAACTGCCAGCCTTCTGGTTAGCAGTCAAGTGCCCTAGGCACCATGCTACCAGAGCTCCCCTATGACACATAGGTTGGAAATATTTAATACATCTGGCTGGATGATTCCTTTGGGGAGAGGACTGTCCTGTACACTGTAAGATGCTTAGCAGCATGCCCAGCCTCTACCAATTTGATGTCAGTAGTGCCCTCCCACACTCCTAAGTCATGACATTAAAACATTTCTCCAGACATTGGCACTTGTTCCTCATTTGACAAGATCAGTTGAGAATCATTAAAATAGAATAATATTACCATCTTTTAAGGAATTCTGTGTTAACCAATAGTGTAGTGTTGGAAGATTTTAAGATAGCTAGCTGAACTTACTAAGGTTCTTAACATGTATTTAATAATTCATAATATTTTTATTTCAAAAGTTATATGTGTCTGAAGATTTATTTTTCTCTTACACAAAGTATTCAGTACTTCGTTTTCTCTGCACAAAAGATGATCTATTTTGTCTGACTCTCCTCCCTACCTAAATGCATTAAATTCTTGGGAAGATATCACCAAATTTCCAGACTGGTTTTAACAGAAAAAGAACTGTAATAGTGTAAGCAGAAATATGCCAAATTTGTACCCTACCTCTCACCCAGTACCCAGGAACTCTTGGCAAGCATTTTGATATTAACTTGTGTTCACTGTGACCAACTCTTTTTTTTCCAAAAAATTATTAGTTATAATATACGCCAGGAAAAATAGAGGACAACATAACGTGGCTATTTACAACAGGGACTTGGGAGTTACACCTCCTGAATCTTGACTTTATCACATGGTAATAGGATAGGTAACAGGACAAACTGGGCAATTTACTCAGCCTCTCTTAAGACTAAATTATCTCTTGGGATAACAGTATAAATTCCTAACTCATGACATTTTGGGGTATTCAATGAGTTAAATCAGGGCTAAGCACCTGCACCACAGCCTAACCTTTTATAAGCAGTCATCGTTGTCACAGTAAATGTTATTTGAAATAAGGTCAGGAATAAACAAACGAACAAACCTAAAATACTAGCCACAATGGAAACAAGGCCTGGTCCAGCACCAATTTCAAGTACTTTAGCATCTTGGAGATTCAGTTCCTCTGTATGTTCCTCCAAATACTGACACAAAGCTGTAGCCTAAAAACATTTGCAATATTTTTACCTCAGCATTGGAACATTGGAAACCAGTAACAAACCCTCACCACCCTCCATCCAAAGTTAAATGTTATCAACTAGTTTCAGCTTATTGAATGGTTCATAAGAACTGAAACATACATTCAGTGCTATATTTTTCATCGTGTGCCATTAAGTTGATTCCAACTCATAGCAACCCCATAGGACAGAGTAGAATTGCCCCATAGGGTTTCCTAACCTGTAATCTTTAAGAGAGCAGATCACCAGATGTTCCTGTTTGCTCACCTCCTTCCCACACAGAGCGGCTACTGGACTGAAGCCACCAACCTTCGTTAACAGCCAAACACTTAGCCTCTGTGCCACTAGGGCTCCTTGTGCCATATTTAGATCTTTGGAATGTAAAAGTTCTAATAGTTTCTACACATCTGAGGAAGTGAACAAACAGATTTGTTCACAAAGCTTGCCTGTATCACAAAATTTGAACAACCTACCAGAAATTAGATAGCCCAGCTCTTATAAATCAGGGAACTGTAGGGCTAAAGAGTAATAGCTTCCTCTGCATTAGTCGGGGGCTCTGGTGGTGTAGTGCCTAAGGCAGCTGACTGCTAACCAGAAGTCTGGTGCTTCAAACCCACCAGCCATTCCTCGGAAGGAAGATGGGGCAATCTACTTCCATAGTGATACCACCCAGAAACCCAAGGAGGGGTCGCTGTGAGTCAGATCTGACTCAATGGCACATAACAACAACAACTGGGTTAGTCATGTTGAGTCTCCAGCAGCTCTCAGAATGTGATTGTATGAACTTTTAAAACATCTCTCCCCTGACTCCTTTATCAAAATATAGGTTGGTTAGGATTTTGTCTTCTATGTTGGACAACTAGGCAGTTATTAAAAATTTTTAAAAGTGCCTCATTTAAGAAATACTCAGACAATGAGAATGTTGTTGTTGTTATGTGCCGTCGAGTCGGCCCCAACTCATAGTGACCCCTCCTTGGGTTTCCGAGGCAGTATCACTACAGAAATAGATTGCCCCATCTTCTTCCGAGGAGTGGGAGATGGGTTTGAACCACCACCCTTCTGGTTAGCAGTTAAGTGCCTTAGGTACTACGCTACCAGAGCTCCCGATAACAAGAATTGTTGTTGTTGTTATGTGCCGTCGAGTCAAACCCGACTCATAGTGACCCCTCCTTGGGTTTCCGAGGCAGTATCACTACGGAAGTAGGATTGCCCAACCTTCCTTCTGAGGAGTGGCTGGTGGGTTTGAACCGCCAGCCATCTGGTTAGCAGGCAAGTGTCTTAGCCACTATGCTACCAGAGCTCCCGATAACAAGAATAGTGCTCATCAAACTTTAGTGTGCACACAAGTCATCTGGGGCCTTGTTAAAGATGCAGATTCATGAGGGACCCAGGATCCTGCAGGTGGGGCAAACTCCCAGGTGATGCTTATGCGCTCTTAGAAATCAGGGAAATGTAGGGCTAAAGAATAATAGCTTCCTCTGCATTAGTCGGGAGCTCTGGTGATGATGATATGCTGATGACTGACAAACTATACTTTGAGTCGTAGCAGGAGATTTGAAAAAAAATATGTGAACATATTAGTGTGTGTGTATTATATATATTTATATATATATACAGTATACATATATATATAGGAACTTTCCTTCTTCATTCTCTTGTGTCCAGCTTTCTGACCTTTCTTCAAATAAAGGGTATTTAATTTGTATTACCTCATGAGGTTTTTACATTTATGTCACTAAGATGTCAGCTAGCCATGCCCTGAGTGAGGGAGAGAGATTAAGAAGCATTACTCATGAGGAAGTTACTTAAACTTGAGTATGAGTATAAATAGCCTAGAGGTGGAAATGTGAACTTTGAGATTTAAAAAAAAAAATTGAACTCTAATTTACTTACACTTTTAGGCTTTAACTAAAGACATGTCCTTATCTTCTATTTAACTGCTGGACTTGTTATGATACCACTTTCCATTTTGAGGCTAGGCTGGGTTTGAAGGAAGACTGGGCAATCTACTTCTGTAGAGATGTTGTTGTTGTTATGTGCTGTTGAGTCGGCCCCGACTCATAGCGACCCCTCCTTGGGTTTCTGAGGCAGTATCACTATGGAAGTAGATTGCCCAACTTTCCTTCCGAGGAGTGGCTGGTGGGTTTGAACCACCAGCCTTCTGGTTAGCAGTCAAGTGCCTTAGGCACTATGCTACCAGAGCTACACATCGGAAACCCAAGGAGGGGTCGCTGTGAGTCAGAACTGACTCGAGGGCAGTGAGTTTGGTTTTGGAGTTTTAAGATTATTTAAAACGAGCTGCCTCATCATTGCTGGTGGTCAGATTAGCAGCAAATATAATCCAATTGGTCACTCCATTTCATCCTCATTTGATCACTTAACAAGCATTTATTACACATACACATGCAAAGATGAATATAAGCAGGGAGGGATTACCCAGTACACAAGGAAGTGCAGAGCTTTCTTTTGTTTACTTACTAACATGTGACAGTTCCACCATGGCAAAACCCACGTGAAAGTACGCACTACAGACTCAGCTTACCTTGCTTACTGAGTACAGTGTCCCTGTCAGGGACTGTAAATTTGAAGAGGCTTTGATTCTGTAGGAAAGTGCTGTGAGGTAGGAGAGAGAGAGATGCCAGCCACACCTACCAGCAGAATCTTTGATAGGTGAAAGAATGTGAAATTGCTCACTGCATATTAATAAGTAAGCAGAAATAAGCCCATGGTTACCTACTTATTGAGCAATTGGACATTGAAACATGACACAGCCATGTCTACTCTCAAGGAATTAGGTGGGGAGAACAAGGCATGTACACCAATTATAAACTGCATTTCAGAGAGACAAGTAGCACAAAGGATGCATAGATAAGGCATGGCGGTGAAAGTATACTGGAGGCCACTGGAAAATCAGGGCTGACTTTGTAGTGCCAGGCACAGATCTTGAAGGATGAGTAGGAGTGACAATAAACAGGATACAGAGACATTTCAGGCAGAAGATAGCACGAGAAAGAGTAGCATAGGTGTGAAACAGCACCAAATGGCACACTGCACCTAGTTCAGGAGTTAAGAAGCCAAGTTTTGGGGAAAAGAATTCCCTGGTTCTTAAGTAGAAAGTGATTATTCCCTATTTGTGGGTTTCAATATTAGGAGGAGAGTGTCACTTGGAACAATCAAGAGGATATGTGCCTTGAGGGATTTTCTGAAGAAATAAATAGCTGTAGACTTCCTTCTTTAAGGCCTCTGTCCAGTGAGAGGCTGGCACCATTTGGGGTGTTATCTGGCGATAACTTTCCTCAGGAACAGTTGCATCCTTTGACATTTCAAACACTTTCCCCACCCTTTATGCTAATTAGCAAGCTCTGAAAAGTGATCTCCTTCACAGAGAGCTGCTCTTGAAGTCACAAAAGAAAAAGATGTTTTTCTAACTTACTGCAATCTTTTTTTGACAGCTTTCAGCAAATTGGGGTCCTAAGGGAGGTTAGTGTTTGCTGCATGAAAAACTGAGGCTTTATTTTGAATAAAGCAGTCAAGTGGACCAAAGTCTTTTTTTTTCCATTCCCAATCTCTGATACCCCTGCTATATAGTTGTCTATTTGCTAAATACAATAGGAAACTGGAGAATACTTTGGTGGTTTTCAAACTTCTTATGCCAAAGAAAAGACTTGCTTGCAGAAAATCATACTTCTATGTAAAGGTGTAAAAAGTGGACTATAGTGGGGGTGGGAACTCTGGTATCATAGTGGCTAAGACACGTGCCTGCTAACCAGACGGCTGGCAGTTCAAACCCACCAGCCACTCCTCGGAAGGAAGGTTGGACAATCCTACTTCCGTAGTGATACTGCGTCGGAAACCCAAGGAGGGGTCGCTATGAGTCGGGGCCGACTCGACGGCACATAACAACAACAACATAGTGGGGGTGGAGGTCGATGGGATGTTTTGGGGAGGGAGATGAAACCCTAAGACCTGAGGCCCTTTTGTTGTCTGTCCCCTTCTTCTCCCCAGTGACTTACCTCCACCACCCAGACCACCCAGAGGGAGCTCCAGGAGACCTCTAATTATGAGAAGTCTCTGGATCAGCAGCATCCCCATCACCTGGGAGCTTATAGTGTCACAGGCCCCACTCCAGGCCTACTGAGTCAGAGTCTGCATTTTAACAAGATCCCAGTATGATTCACATGACTGTTGACGTTTGAGAATTCTGATCTGGAACCTTACCCACTACGCCACCAGAGCTCCTTATTAAAAAAAAAATAATAATAAACCACCAAACTCACTGCCATCAAGTTGGACCCAACTCCAAGGCGGTATCACTCCGGAAGTAGATTGCCCAACTTTCCTTCCAAGGAGTGCCTGGTGGGTTTGAACCGCCAGGTTTTTGGTTAGCAGTCACATGCCTTCGGCACTACGCCACCAGAGCTCCTGAGCTCCTTATAGCATAGAGCAAAATCAAGGCTTCAGGAAGAGATGATATGCTTATGCTGAGCCTAAGCGTTTCCCAATCACACCATCACTACTCCTAGGGCACCAATAGTGGATCCTCAGTTTGAGAAGCACAGAATGTTAAAGCATTTGGCAGAGTGTCCAAGACAACACCAATGTAAGAAATTGCTATTATCATCTCCGGGTATCCTGGCATCACAAATGTAGCAGTTCTCTCACCCCTGGCCACACCACTGCTCCATAACTCTCTATTGATTCTTGAATGACAATCTTCTTGCCTGCATACAGATAATTCTCCTGAGTGTAACTGGAATAATTTGTAGGAGCAAATTTCTGGAGGCTTTGAAGAGATGACTCTATCTTGTTAGAATCTGTGCAGCAGAAAATAAAATGAGTTGCATTATTAATCCAATGCAAATGTATCCTCGGTATAATTGTTCAAATGGGAATAGATTAAGCAATCTTTCCATAAAAAGAGTGGGTAATGCTTTCAATGACAATGGCTGCAAACAAGCACAAAACGGAATTACATGGATGGACAGAGGCATGACATTCAGACATGACATTTTTATAATATGACAGAGGACTAAAGGATGCCCTGGGACCTTCCCTCTGTTTAAGGGAGGGTAAAAGAGGTGTGGATCCAGTGGGATCTAGTCCCCACCCTACGTTTTGATAACAGGAGAAAGCTAATTTACCAGCAAAATGACACGAGTGGAGCTATCTGGTTAAGGAGGAACTAGGTAAACACCAATCTGATATTTTTAGGTCTTGAAGTGAAATAAAATTCCCAAGTATTGGTCATAGCATGTTCCTTAAATTCTTCCCACTCCTCAAAAGGTACAGGCTACCCAAAGAAGAGCCAACTCCACGGTCCTGGGCAAGGTTGTCAGATGAGCTCTGGCTATTAAGTTACTATTGCTTTAAATACTCCTTTAAACTCATGACCCACTATAGCAGCTCTCAAATATCATATAAAATAAGAGGAAAAGAGCATCTGATCAGGGACTGACACGATGTAATCTCTAATTGTTACAATCTTTCCAGAATGTTTAAGAATAAAAAGAATTGTGAGTAAAAATGCCAGGAATGAGGATGTTGGGCATATGCATATTTAGGGGCTGTCAATAGCAGAGAGAAAGATGTTGGGATCAGCAGGGAGAACTCTAAGGAAGGGGAGAAAGTCAGTTGTATTTGCGTGAAATCTGCTTTACTTGACTGGGAGTGTAATTCAGGCTTATGAAAATCCTTTTAGAAGGTGGTCAGTTAGCATTTGAAATACTCTAATCAGAAATAGGGTAGAGGAGTAGAGGGTCAAGTAGTAGGCTTTTGAAAAGCCTAATTAGGAGTTTGCTCTTCATACATATGTTACTTCAAGAATCACTAATTTCAGTATGCACTAAAATAGTGCTGTACTGCTAGTTCACAAACCATTTGTAACTGATTAACAGATAAATTTAAAAACTGGGAGTAAATGTTTAGAAATGTTTCTGACATTTTTACAATGTTTGCTGAGTATAATTACAAAAATCTTGGGCCTTGTATTTTGTGTATATATATATAAACTGGAAATTCATTTTTGTTGTATTTTACAAAAGTTTCAGTTTGTGATAGATTGGGGGTGGAGAAGGAAAAACAAACAATTGTCCTTGAAGATAGCGTGGCTGAATCACTACTCTCTACATACTTGGAAATTAGCATGTTGGATGCTTGGGCTTCTTTAGAGTGTTGTTCTTGGCCACAGGTCCTGATTTAGTGTGTTCCATTGTGCGAAGAATTTTCTGTCCTGACCAAAAGGGAAGTTCCAGAGACTCAGGACTTCACGGAGCTTGCAAAAACTTGCTAATAAATAGGCAATTTGGACCTTAGACTGTGTCCCTTCCTGTCATATGTCCTGGTAGGGGATTGTAGGGAGGCTGTAGGGTAGAGAAGGAGACCGGTAAGCTTCCCCTACCTCTTATTATGGGAGTCTACTGACATCTAACAAAAAGAACCCAATATTTATGAATGACTCAATGGGCCCAATTTCTACCATAGTGCTCAGAGGCTCTCTGACTTCTGTTTCAGAGACAATAAGGAGGCAGAGGACTAGGCAGTAGTGAACTGGTAAGTGTTTAACAACCAGCTGGGAGAGAGAAGAAGATGGGCTGATTCATGGGGTTTGCTGATTCCCATGGTGTAAATACTTCCTACCATGGCTGATTTCAAGGTACCAGCCTGACGTCGCTTGAAGAGACGTGCAGTCGCACAACATTATATTGTATTTGTACCTTACAGATATAATAGACAAGAGCATATGTAATAGTATAGTGGAATAAAATAGTAAGTGAGGAGTTCGGAGTATTTATTGCTTTAATTTATAATATACTTTTGTCTTTAATATAATTCATTTAAATGGAACTTTGTATAATTTAAATTTTAGTAATCGTGATGTTTAATAATCAGCTTGCAAAGCTCCTGAAATTCAGGAGTCAGTACAAGCCAGCTCAGCATACCACAGGAGTAGGTGACCCAGAGTGGCAGGACACTGTGTCACCTCTCAAGGCCTCTCTTCCCCACCCACTGTCTCCCAGGCTGTGCCTTCTACCTTTATTCCCACTTACATCATTTGGTGATTTATTTCCTTTCCAAGGATATAGGAAAAATTAATGGAGTTATATGGAATGGCTCATCATTTCATTGGTAAATAAACTGAGTAAATTTTCAGTTTACACGCCTATCAACTTTATAAAGAAACATGAACATTTAAATATTCTCCTATATCACCCTTCTACATACTAGAAAGATAAACAGAAGTATTGCATATTAAAAATTTGCAGTTTTTGTACTATGCTAGCCTAATAACTTTAGAGGGACTAGATTTTCAAGATAAGGTTGAGCTGCATTTTTATATAAATACTTTAATAAAAAAAATAATTTATTAATAAAAAGTAATTCATTTAGTAGAGTTGAGACATAATCTTACCTCTTCAAATGATTGTAAACATTTTAAGTGATATGTCTTGGCTTTTATTATATCATTTGTTATGTCTATTATTTATTTAGTACTGAGTCCTTGCCCAGCAATGCAACCCTAAACCAATACATTGCCCTAATGGGAAAATATATTTTCATTTACAATGATTGACTGTATGTTGTAGCTGCCAGGAATGCATTTGGACTGAAAACAGAAACAAAATAGCTTTAGTTTCTTTAAAAAAAAAAAAAAAAAGTCTTATTCCAAATAACAGCCTTAGAGTTTTACACAAGATAAAACAAATTTGTGGACTTGACAAGTAAATAATGAAAAAACAAATTACTTTAATGCTATGTTCATACTTGCATAAAGGCATTTTTCTACTATGCTTCATCTTGGTAAAATGAAAATTTGTATCATCGAAGTTTGCTTGGAAATGTTACTGCCAGGAAAACAATTGAGAAGGTATTGAAGCAGAGACAAGGAGTTACCTTGTGGGAGTCCCGCAGTGCCATCTTTTTGGAGACTCTCCTTCTTCTCTGCCTCTAGACAGCCACCTGGAGTCCTCGGTGCTTCCCCAAGGTGCCCGGGCTGCAGCGTGGAGTTCAGACACACATCCATAACCAGAGTCTTCTGGAAGAGAAAGAGCTGGAAGGGACCCGAGGAGCTCAGCCCAAGTCAACTCTGACTGAGCCTCCCAGAGGGCTCTAGAAGGTGTAGCTTATCGCCTTAGCATCTGCTGTGCCAAAAGAAATGTCTGCTTTTCAGTTTAGTTCCCTGGATGAGCAAAGGAGCCACCAAGAGAGCTGTCAGCCTGGTTTTGCAAAGCAAAGTAGAGGAAGACCATTAAATATTACTGAACCTATTATACACATGAAGAAATGTAAAAACTGTGTAATTGTAACCAGAGAAGGGGCAATAGGTTGCTCAGCAGACAGTAATGAGTTTTTCTTCTTTTGCAAATGTGTTCTTTACCATCCCTGCTCCCTAGTATGTGGCACATCACTAAGGTGTGGTGTCTAAGATTTATTTCTACTGACCTTTGGAAAAGAAGCTTAAAAAACAATCTGTCCAGCATTATATAGCATTGGGGGCACCTTGTGGATTGTGCAGTTAATGACATCATAGAGGAGAAGCCAGGATTTGGAGCAAATGGAGGGCTCTTCCCTCATCTGAGGCTTTATCACAGTGTAGTAGAAAGCGCTGTGAGTGGAGAGCCAGGAGCCTGAGTTGGCTCCTCACTCTGACACTTGGCAACTCACTCAATCCCTTCAGCACCCATTTCCTCATCAGCAAAAAGGGGATAATAATATCTGTCTACCTCATAGGGCTACAGCAAGAAACAGAAAAGTGAACGTGATTAATAAGGCTCAGGAAAATGATCCCTAATCCAGAAAAAGAAGCCCTGATCATTGATCTGCATCAAAATAATAATACCTGCCATTGCTGGTGGACATAGTGTATTGTTACCAGACAATGTCCTTGTGATTTAAATGTACTGATTCATTTAATACAGCAACCCTTAGAGGTGGATACTATTATTGCAGTTTTTCTCAGATGAGAGAAAGTCAGGGATTAAGTATTAATTAATTAATTCAGTGATTAATAAACTGAGGTCATACAGCTGGCCAAGAGCACAGCTGGGAGTCAAACCCAGTCCAGCTGTAGCATCCACATTCTTAACTACTAAGAAGCGCATAGTTTTGCTGGCCTTGGTTTATCCCTGGTTTTCTTTGCTAGTTTGCCCTGAAATTACTCATAAAGTCCATGTTGTGACAATGACATTTTTTTAGCCTTTTTAAAAAATGAAAATGGTTTTCTTCGTCCGTGTTTATCATCTTTGGTTTATTCTCCACATACCATCATGTTGTTTCAGCCAACTGGAGACGGATAGTGGACACACCAACCATACCATCTCTAATTAAGTGACCTGAAATCCAACACTACATCCAGCCATTCAGGTATGGGATTACCCCGGTAAACAAACACACAGAACATAAGAAAGAACACCCCTTCCCTCCCGGTGTATGCAATTCCATGCCATACCTAGGGGGGTTATATGCTCATCGCATTTCTGTGCAACAAGACGCCAGAGAAATGAGATTGTTGTGAGAAGATCTGTGTTTTCATTGGCTCCACAATCAAATAATCAGATATTTGCCTTAACTTTCCAACTCACTAAACCAGCCAAGGGCACAGATCTGTGATTTGTGGGAAATTTTTTTATCTTGCAGATATTTTCTTGCTCCTTCCCCTCAGCTTTCCCACAGCTCCAGGAAGTCAATGGTTCCCCCTAAAATACAGCAGATGGGTTGTTTTTGAACACATGGAGTATCTTCAGGGCAGAAGTCTCAAAGCTCTGCCAATACAACCCACACTGAAGATGTAGATAACGGTGACACCTACCTCAGATGGTGGTTGTGGGAATTAAGAGAGGTAATTTATACAAAGGCCCTTGCATGGAACACTATCAACTGTTATGGTCATCTCCAAAGCTATAGAGTAAACATCAAATATAATATGCAAAATTCCCATGCATCACTATAGAACTCTGCCCATTAAAAATTTAATTAATTAAATAATTTAAATTTTTAAAAAATTTCCTCATGTTGAGTGCATGAAAAAACAGCTATTTTCAGACAAATACCATTGTGGAATGAAATAACTCCCTTCCCCATCACTGTAGTTCACATGAGAAATTAATTTTCTCCTAACATTGAAAAGCAATCAAAATAATAACAGCTGCAGTCTAATTAGTGTTAATTGTTAGTTTCACACATTATATTTTATTTAAAATATATTTAATGGTTCAATAAAGCATTTTGTTTAATATTTAATAAATGCTTTTATAGGGTTTTTCCAATGAGTCCTTGTTAGTACCCCCCAAAATAATTTTGAACTATTAGCTCAACTCTATCTTTACCTTGTGTAGCAGAGAGATGTGTGGTTTCTTTGCACCCTTTGATCCCTATGTTTTATATAGGTCTGCACCTGAAAGGATTAGCATTTTATGAACAAAAGCCAGCCAGTGGAAGTCCAAGTTATTTAGGGTAACATTACCTACCACTACTCATAGACAAGTTACTTTGCTAGGATTCTCTCTAGCTCTCACAAACACACACACACAAACACAAAGTCTTTGAAACATGAAATGGAATCAAAAGATCCAGAAATGTCATTCCAGCAGGAAAGAGGCTGTCCTCTGTGGTATCCAGCTGCTGCGGTGTAGTTTGAAATGTAGATTTAGTTTTTAAAGAAATGGTGATGGGTAGTTGGGGCTTTGTAAAGACCTGCAAACTTTTTGCTCATTAGCCAGCCTCCTGAAGCTGAAGAGAAAGAGCATACCTGGATCAACTTGGTCCAGAGCTCTAATTCTGGTGGCTACAGAGACTCTGCACATAGGAAGGAAACTTCTACACAAAAGAAAGAAGCATGTGCATCCAAAAGAAGGAATGTGAGTTCAAGACTTATGAAAGTTGCATATGGGACATTTAGGAGAGACAACGACAAACAGGAAAGCAGAAAAATACTTCCAAGAAAAAGTTAAGCCATTGTTATTTATTTACTTGCAATAAGGGGCAGTACGCAAGGGAAGAAGAAAAGCCTGTGCTTGTTTAGGAAGCATGTAGACCCTTAAAATAGAATACATTGTAGGTCATGTAAAGTAAAGCTTCAGGGAAATGGGAATTAAATACTCATTCCCATTTATAAGGTCCCATGTTTAACCAGTGGGTTGAATAGTGATTTAACTTGAATAGAAAAAAGAGCTTTTTTTAAAAAAAATCCAAGCTTGGTACTCTCCTCTATGTATATAAATAAACTGACAAAGATTTTATGTTATTTTTTATAGTTATTAAAACATGTTATTTATTAAAATATATATATTTAGAATATATATATATATATTTTATGTCAATTTCTTTTAACTCAGGAGCTTTGTCTGAGTGTGTAGTGATCTAATAACTATTACAATGAGTCTTCTTTTCCCACTCCCTTAAATGAAGTTTTTTCCAATTCTATCATTTTAATGTTTTCTTATTCCCAAAATGGGTCTAGTTCTATGATTGCATCCTGCATTTCTGTAGTGTTTTCCACCAGATGTCATGATCTGTATAAGAAATAGCAAAAATACACTCATTATTAAAATTATATAAATAATTCTTTAAACTTATGCCAATGTATATGAATACATATGTATATGTGATATACATTATATGTAGTATAATATATAATATATATACTTATTTTATAGACATTTTATAATACAAAAAAACAGAAAGAAGAAAAAATATTTTAAATCATCTTTAATCCCACTATTTGGGGAGATAAGCCTGGTTAACATATTTTTAAATATATATCAGCTTCTAGGCTTTTAAAAAAATAAGCCTAAAAAATTATTTTACTGAGAATGAAAGTGTACAGAAGCAAACACATATTTGATTCAGTATGTTATTGTTGTTGTTGTTATGTGCTGTCAAGTCAGACCCAATTCATAGCGACCCCTCCTTGGGATTCTGAGGCTGTATCACTACGGAAGTAGATCGCCCAACCTTCCTTCCCAGGAGTGGCTGGTGGGTTTGAACCACCAGCCCTCTGGTTAGCAGTCAAAGTGCCTTAGGCATTAATATATATAGTATGGTATATTCTATTATTTTAAGAGATTCTTTTTAATACTATCTTCAAAAGCCATCTTTTATGTAGCTGCTTTAAGCAATAAGTCAGAACACTACTGTTGGAACTGGAATAAATAACAGAGGTTCCTAAATTCTAGATGGACTATATCAGGATTAGTTGGAAGCTTCAAAATACATAGACTGTCCCAGCCTGGGCATCTTTTTTTTTAAAAGTTCTGAGAAGGAACCTAGAAGTTTGGATTCTGTAAAAGCAGGATTGGGAATTCTTGGTCGGAGAACGGCTCCCTGTGTGTCTGCAGCACCTGGCACACAGTAAGTGTCAATCTGCATAATTTGCTCTTGAGTGTGAGTCTCTGAGGGCCTGAGCGGCCAGGGGAAGACTCCAAGAGGCTTGGGGAGGGGCTAGAGGATTGGGACAGAGCAGGGAACACATGAGTTGTTGTCAAATAGTTGAAGTGCCGTCACGTGAAGAGAGATTAGGCCTTTTGCATGGTTCTGGAGGTCACACTGATGAAGTAAGTTACTGGGAAGCAGATTTGGAAAAGAACTTTCTAACAAGAGAGCAATGGAACAATTGATCTCGGGAAGCCTAGCATAATGGAAAGTGGGCCAAATTTGGAGTCAGAAGATGCAACATTGGATTCAAGGTTTATGCAGGGTCAATAAAGAGGCTATGCAGGGTCAATAAAGAGGCTATGCAGGGTCAATAAAGAGGCTATGCATATGCTGTCACTGCCCTTCTCCATCAGCACAGACATAAGATCTATCACTTGCTGACTAAGCTCTGGAGAATGATGGTTCTCAATATGGGACAATTTTGCAACCCCTATTCTTGTCCCCAGTATATATTTGCTAATTTTAAAAGACATTACTAGTCACTGCTGGGAGCTCTGGTAGCATAGTGCCTAAGACACTTGACTGCTAACCAGAAGGCTGGAGGTTCAAACCCACCAGCCACTCCTCAGAAGGAAGATGGGGCAATCTACT